TGCTAGCTGGAGAGCAGGGAGAAGCCCTGTCACGGAGACGGACGTGACTTCTCCCGGCTGCCTGAGGCTCCCGCATCCCCCGGTACACTCTGCCGGATGCATGTTGAGGGAGGACAACAACTTGGCCATGAAACCGAGCCTCCCTCTGTAAAGCTAAGGCTGCCTGCTACGTTTGCCCGGCGATTCGGGCATCTGCTTGCAATTCGCAGCCTGCGCGGCACCTCCAGCCGCCAGCGCCCTGCCAGGAGAGCGGCTGGGGGGGCACGGCGGGGGCGGGCCGCTCCCTGCCACCGGCTTCCTCGGGAGCCCTTGGTGGCAAAGGGGCACCTCAGCCTCCACGTCCGCATCCACAGCTCTTCAGCCATGCGGATGTTTTCTTTTCGGGCCCACAACAGGGCATGACTTGGGCTGGGCATGTATGATTTATGGCCATTGGAATGAAAGCCTTCACGCCAGGAGAGAAGATCCATTTTCTCTTCCTCCTCTTGATCTAATGCACTTTAGTTATTTGGTAAATCTTCTAATGGTTTTATAATGCACTAAGTGGAGCAAAGTGACACTATTTTTTCATATTGATTTTGTTGCGTCTTACCAGTTTCATAAGGCCAAGATTCAGAGGGAGCTGGAATAATTCAATAATTCATACTGCCCAAGTGGTTGGTTCAAGCTGAGCGAGGATTAACTTTAAAGAGGGGGGCATTTTTCCTCCCTGCTTCTTTTCCTGCATGGATGCTTTCTGCATCCAGAGAGGCCAAATACAGTTCCAGAGGCAGAGCGATGGAGAGGGGCTGGGTTCCCCATTGCCTCGCTCCTCAGCATCATGGGCAGCTCAAGAGCAGCTCCCTCCGTGTGCTGTTCGCCAGCTCCCCATCAAAAATAACGTTCTGGGGGAGGTGGAGGGCTGATGATGCTTGGGACAGGACCTGGGTCCCCCCAAGATGCGTCTCCTCCATTTCGTCGCTGTAAGAGTGTCTCTGGCAGGGGTGTCATAGCATGCAGGGGAGCTCTGTGCCCACGGCAAGCCAGCAGCAAAGCTCTCATGGTCAGATCCTGGGCAGCAGCTCGGATGTTTCGCTGGCTTTGCAATGATGGAGAGCGGCTGCTCTCACAGGGTAAATCCTTCCTTGCTTGTGGCAACGACAGCGCGACGATGCTGCCTGTGATGGCACTCGGGTGTCACTCGGAGAGCTGGGAAGGAGGACGAGGCTCGAGAGGGTGTTTGGTGGTGTCCTGCCCAGGGCAGAACGCAGGACAGTGCCTGGGAGCCAACTGTGTCTGACCTCGGCACAGGACAGGGCTAAAATATTGATATACAAAGTAATGCTTTCTGCATTTCATGTGTAGCTCCTTTTTCCCTGAAAACTCATCTTGTCCCGTGAGTCCTGTGGCAGCAAGGCCAGGTACTGCGAGATGCACGGCAAAGTCATGAGGCTGATGTCCCTGCTAGTCCTGGTGCTGTCGGTCGCCTGCTTCGCGTGTGATGGGGACAGCGAGCTTTGAAAGCGGCTGGGGCTCTGCACTGAGCTGCTGCGGTCGCTGCAGCCTGGGGAAATCCCCTCCCAACACGTCACTTGTACCTTGTGTTCTGTCCCGACAGTTGTGCCCATGAACGTCAGCTGCACCCGGACAGACTTCCACATCCAGATCCCCGTGCAGTCCCTGGCCCAGCTGGAGAGGAATAGGGTTTATTTGGGGACCCCCTCCTGTGCAGCCCAGGTGGTTGGTGGGAACTTTAAAATACACACCAGGTTTGACACCTGCGGCACCGAATCCCAGGTAAGCTGTCAGCAAACCTTCCTTTGAAGCGAGCTGAGTAGACGGCTAGCCCCGTTGTACCAGCTGCAGAGAGGAGTTCCCAGTCCCTGTCCCATCTTCCCAGCAGATGCTGGTCTGATTCGTGGCCAACCGCCCTCCAAACCCCTGTGAAAACGAGCTGCACAAAGCCCTGACGAGCTGCGACCCTTGTCTTGCAGAAACGCAACAACACGTCCATCATCGTCAGCACCCTCTACATCGATTTTTCAGCGGGTGACCAGGAGGACATCCACCAGTACGAGGTGCAGTGTGAGCCGAAGAAAAAGGAAGCCTCGGTGACCCTCATCGCTGGCCCTGACCCAGCCAGGCTCAGCCAGGCAGAAAACCTGGTGGATGCCCAGCAGCGGGAGGGGGGAGAGACGGACGCCCGTGAAGTCAAGAGCCAGGACACCAGCGACATCGTCTTCATCAGCATCTGCATCCTGGCCGGGCTCCTCATGGTCATCGCGGTGGTGGGGCTCGTGCTTCTGTAGGATGCTGCTCCCCAAACCTGCGATGCCAGCCCTGCTCGGGGTGGAAATAAGCCCCAAAACCCCACCCTCACCCCAGGCTGAGCACTAACACAGCTGCCCAAATGGAGACACAGCTCCCAGGCCCCGAAACAGAGCCTGAACCCAACCTCCACCTCCTCCCAGTGCCTGAAAAATCTGGGCAATAGGCAGCCATTTCCCTTCCCAATTTGTTTTCCTCTGTCTCAATCTGTCCATTTGGCTCAGGAATGCAATTCTTGTGCTTTCTAACTCTTCCCACACCTGCTTCAATTTGTTTTCTCTCTGGTGCTGCTGCTTTTGGGAAAGTAACGTTGTTTGCCGATGGCTGCAAATCATTCTGTCAATTATTTCTAGCTGAATCCTTGAAGGTACAAACCATCCCCCAATACAGCAATATTCCCAACAAATATTTTCCACGCTCCCGCCTGTGCTCAGGGGAGTAACGTAGAGCTGTGTTATAGGTATCTCCACTTGGCACGTATAGATGTAGCTCGTGTAGATGCTTCCAGGCGGTGTTTCTGGATGTCCACAGACGATGTGATGAGATGCGTTTGCCGGGCACCTTGGAGCTCCTTGTTTGATCTTCTCTTGTCATCTAACCTACCCATCGCTCGCAGGACTCACCTGAGCACTTCAGCCACCAGCAGCTGGAGGGAAGGAGAGTGATGTCTCTTCTCCTCTGTGTTTTCCTTCTTTCCAGCATGCCCAGGTGTCCACCGCTGTGAGCTCTGTACTGGCATCGCTCCTGGAGTCTGACACCGTGGGCTCAGAGGTTTCGGTAACCTTTTAAAGATGGCCTCAGCAGGAGGGGCTGGCTCCTCTGCACTGACAGGGTTTTTGCTGCCAACCTCAGTGACACCAGACCTCCACCCTTGGGCCTCGCAGAAGGTGAGCTCAGCAGCCGACAGCACGAAAATAGGAGTCCTGTGGTCACCTGCACCTCCAGAAAACTTGGGTTCCTCCCCAAGAGCCTGCTGGATGGCCAAATAACCCCCACCTGCCTCTTGTGCCTTACCACACAAAGGAGATTCTCTTTCAGCATCATACAGGGGGTTGGCTATTGCAGAGCAGCCTGTGTTTGTCCCGGCGTACGGCGAAGCCAACGTGAAATCTCGCTGCAGAAGCAGGGTGAACGCAGCCCTGGGAGCCTGGCGTAGCGGCCACCCGCCCCAGCCTGCGCACAACACACTGTGGTGCAGGGAGAGATCTTAAAATGTCCAAACGTGGTCATTCAAGGGCAAAAAAATTGAAGGCGAGGGCAGTGGGTAATCCAGGAGCCCTTTTTTTGGTAGCACTACCTCCCAAGGGGAATCCATCCTAAGGAGGGCACCGGCTATTCCCGCGACAGCGTCGCACCGCACAGCAAACCCCTCGTGCTGCTGAATCCACCTGCGGGATTTTTAGCAGGGGCCAACAGGACAGTCCCGTAGGTGAAAGGCTTTCCTGACCGAAGGTCTGTACCTGCTGCCGACCATCAGAGG